GCAGCGGTCGGGTCCTGCCTGGGGAGCTCGGTCCCAGCTCACTGAGGCTGTACAACCAGGCAGGACTGGGGTGATGGAGAGCAGCAGGCACCCCACTAGCCCCCACCCCATGCCATCCTTCACCCCAAAACTGCCTCCAGACCCCCTGTAGATACAACCTCAAGCAAGGGCTCCTGTCTCCCCACAGAGATTTACACCATCCAGGGCAACTCACATGGGAAGCCGTGCACCATCCCCTTCAAGTACGATAACCAGTGGTTCCACGAGTGCACCAGCACGGGGCGGGAGGACGGCCACCTCTGGTGTGCCACCACCCAGGACTACGGCAAGGACGAGCGATGGGGCTTCTGCCCCATAAAGAGTAAGTACTGGGGCATGCGTCCCACAGGGAAAAGCAGAAACCCAGTGTTCATCGTTCCTGGAGGCCTCCCTCCCTCTGTCCTTTCCTCCTGCCTCATCCTGTGGTGCTGCAGTGGAATGGGCTATTGGGTTTTACTGGGTTTTTGGCTTTGCTGGGTTATTTGGGTTCTATGGGGCTGTGTTGGGCGCTCACCCTGCTCATCCCTGCAGGCAACGACTGCGAGACTTTCTGGGACAAGGACCACCTCACCAACAGCTGCTACCAGTTCAACTTCCAGTCGACGCTGTCGTGGCGGGAGGCCTGGAATAGCTGCGAGCAGCAAGGGGCCAACCTGCTGAGCATCACCGAGATCCACGAGCAAACCTACATCAACGGTGAGACCACGGCGGCGCGGCTGTGCCCTCGTCCTCGTCTGGGGCAGAGCCGGTGGCACTGCGGCCATTACTGGGGCTGGGTTGCTCTGCCTGCCCCAGGAGGTTGTTTTGGGGATGGTGATGGCTGGAGGTTGAGTTTTGGGCTTGGCGGGGACTGATCCTGCCCCTCTGGCTGTGTTGGCTGCAGGGCTGCTGACGGGGTACAGCTCCACGCTCTGGATTGGGCTCAACGACCTGGACATCAATGGAGGCTGGCAGTGGTCGGACAACTCACCCCTCAAGTACCTCAACTGGGAGAGCGGTGAGACGAGGGGGTTGTGGTGGTCATGGAGGGGCTGGGGACCAGCCTGTGACCACTGGAGGTGGCCCCATGGCAAAGCAGGTAGCCCAGGCTGCAGCAGGGTGTCACCTCACTGCCTGGGGACAGAGAGCCTCATGGGGGAGCCTGGGACATCCATGGAGCTGGAGGAGGGGATGCAGGGAGCTGGAGGGTGAGTTGTCCCTCTGCAAGCCCTCGGTGGCCCTGCGATGACCTGGGAGCATCCCAGCTGGGTACTGGAGCATGGCTGAGGAGTGGTCCCCAACTGCAGGTGCCCATCTCTAACCATGAGGTGTTCGGGGGGCAGAAGACCCCTCGTGTGGGCTGCTCTGCCCAGTGCTGTCACGCAGAGGCACTTGTGGGGACAGGGGTATCCCAGGAGGAGGTTTGAGGACAGGCAGGAGCAGTTCAGGTCTGGTACCATGACCCCTCTAAGTGCCATCACCATTTCTAGGTAAAACAGTGCTGTTCCAGGTTCTTGTGCAGTGAGGCTTAATAAATATTCCTGGGCATACAGGGTCATGTCTTCATAGTGCAAAATAACAAAATAAATCAATGTTCAGTGGTGTTGGAGCAGGGGGAGCTGTGCCCGTATGGGCAGCCCTGGCTCTGGTCCCACTCCTCAGCACCGTGTTTCTACCCCTCGCCCCCATTTCCAGACCAGCCCGACAACCCCAGCGAGGAGAACTGTGGGGTGATCCGCACCGAGTCGTCTGGGCGCTGGCAGAACCGTGACTGCGGCATCGCCCTCCCCTACGTCTGCAAGAAGAAGCCCAACGCCACCGCCGACCCCTTCCTGACGGGTGAGCGGGGGGATGAGCAGTGCCGGGAACAAGTGACCCCGGATCCCATCCGGGTGTGTGCCCATCCCAGCAAGGTCAGGGGATGCAGCCCATGGAGGTGCTCGTGGTGTCCCTGCTTGCTGGTGCACAGAGCAGGGATGGAGCTCCCGGGGAGCTCCAAGGTTTGGAAGAGGTCTGTCGTGGTTTAGGGCTGGGCTGGCCACTACATCCTGGACAGACGCTCTCTGTTAACCCCTCTCCCCTCCCCAGAAGGGAAGAGAAAAGAGAGTAAGGGAAGAGCATCCCAAAAAGCACTGGGTGCAGTTACTGGTTGGGTGGTGGGGGAGGACTGGAGAGAAGTGGGAGGTTCCCTGTGGTCCCCAGGGGATGGGGTGCGCTCTGCCCTGCTCTGCCATCGCTCCTCTGCATACAGAAGGGTTTTGCTCCATCCTCGAAGCTCTAAAGCCACTGCTACGCACACCTTGCTGTTGCATGTTACGGTTTGGCCATAGCCAAACCCTGCTGCTTTGGCTTGGTCTCCTGAGCATCCCATGGGACTGTGGTCCCTGCCCGCGGTCCCCTCCTTGCCAAGGTGAGGGTTGGAGAGCGGGATAGGAGCCCTGAGGCTGCCCCGTGTCCTGCCAGACTCGTGGTCGGAGGTGAAGGTGGACTGCGAGCCCAGCTGGCAGCCCTTCCAGTCCAGCTGCTACCGCCTGGTGGGGGAGAAGAAGAGCTGGCAGGAGGCGAAGGCGACCTGCCTGCGGAGCGGGGGGGACCTGGTCAGCATCCACACCCTGTCCGAGCTGGAGTTCGTCACCAAGCAGATCAAGCAAGGTAAGGGGGAGCCCGCTGTGCCTTCCCAATCCAGTTCTGGGGTCTGCAGAAAGGTCACCTGTGTGTGATAGAGACTGTGAAGTCAAATTGATTTGTGGCTGGGAAGGGTTTGAAGACCCCAGGCTGGGCGTGATTTGTTGCTTGAAGGAGTCCCTGCCCCGGGTGCATCCTCCATCCACCAAATGGAAAAGCCATTCCTGGGAGCCTGCAGTGCTGGGCAGGAAAATCCACAGCTGCAGCTGGGCATGGCACTGGACCCAGTTGGTGAATGTAGGAAAAGATGGGAATAAAATTCCCTGCTGGGCTTGCTGGAGGAGGCTGCAGCTCTCACTGCTGATTCTACCCTGGACAGGGTGACCCCGGCAGCAGGGCAAGAGAAGGGGACACTCCTGCCTATGGCATCCCAGGTTTCTCTGTCCAGTCCTGGCTCCACACAGGTGTAACTGGGTGGGAGTTTCCCTTGTCGGGATGTGTCACAGCTGGAATGGTCCTTGGGAAGTATTTGGGGTACAGGGAAGCACCCGTGCCACCATCCCCCGGACTCCTCTTGTGCCACCCCTCACTAGGGTCACTCTCAGCTCGGGTTTTGCCATTCCCATATGAGTGCAGCCCCTCCGGCCGAATTCTGCGCTCTTGTGAGCCCAGGTTTCTCCAGGATTTCACCCAGGCAAAGGGGATTTCACCCCCTGACCCTCCTGTCTCGGCAGACGTGGAGGAGCTGTGGATTGGCCTCAATGACCTGAAGCTGCAGATGAACTTCGAGTGGTCGGATGGGACACCCGTGAGGTTCACCTACTGGCACCCCTTTGAGCCCAACAACTTCCGAGACAGCCTGGAGGACTGCGTCACCATCTGGGGACCGGTGAGAGACCAGGGCAGGGAGCTTCTTGTTCAGCATCTCCTGCATCCTTGGGGCTGGGGAGGGATTGCCCTGGGGAACATCTCTGGCTGGGGTTGAACCTGGCTCATCCTGGCTGCTGGGATGGGACGGATCCAGTGCAGCATCCTTGGGGATTCAGTGCAAAGAGGGAAGAGTCTGTGGAGCCCAGGTGAGGCTGGGTGGGCGTTTGGGAATATCCCAGGCTGTCGGCTCAATCCTGCCCTTCTCTTGCTGTGCAGGAAGGGAGGTGGAACGACAGCCCCTGCAACCAGACCCTGCCGTCCATCTGCAAAAAGCCGGGCCGGGTGAGCCAGGAGAAGGAGGAGGATGACCACGGGTGCCGAAAGGTGAGAGGGCCTGGGGTGGGAGGTGGCTCCGGCTGCTCCACAGCTCCGCCGGGTGCTCGTGGGGGACCTCTCCCCAGAAACATTTCGGGGATCCCTGATGAGCAGCACCCAGAGCTGCGAGTCTGTGCTCGGGGGTTGCCAGTGCAACAGAGCATCCCGGGGCTGTCAAGCCCCTTCTGTGGTCACATGAGGCCACGGGAAGAAACTGGGACACAACACACATCTCCCTGGTCCAAGATCCTCCCCCTCGCGCCGGCTCGGTTGCCAGCAGCGATGTTCTTTTTTTGTTTCCCTCCCTTTGCCTCTCTCTGTGCCAAAACCCGGCAGCAAAGCTGCTCTGCGCGGGAGCCCAGTGGGACAGAGGCAGCTGCCGGCCCCACCACAGCAGGCTGCGATCTCTGGGCAGGATATGGGCATTTTGGGGACACGGCCACCAAACTGGTGGGTTCTCTCCCAGACCGTGCTCTGCCTCAGTTTCCCCAGCTACCGAGCGGGGCTGAGGCCGCCCCGTTCCCACGCTTGCTGGGACGTTTTTTGTGTCTCTTTGCAAACTCCTTGAAGGGCGAGCCTGGCATCGCCGCCGCTCTTGAACGTCTCCCAGCGTTTCGAAGCCAGCCGGCTCGCGCTTGGACTAGCAAACAGCCCCTCTGGGCCAGCTCCCAGGGGTGCTGCTGGGCTCCTGCCAGGCTGTTACCCACCGCAGCACAGACAAACCCCAGTGCTGCTTGGCTCCATGAGAGCTCGGGGGGAGTGTGGCAGCCAGACGAGCTGGCACGCCAAGCCAAATTTGAGGGGCTGACATATGCAGCCGAAGGAGCCCTGGTGGCGGGCGGGGACTAAAGCAAATTTTGGGGGCCTGCCATATGCAGCCGAAGGAGCCCTGGTGTCAACAGGTGCTGGGGACAGGGCGCTCGGTGGCAGCGTGCCACCACCACCCGTCTGCTTGTCCTCAGGACTCACAGGGTGTCCCCGTGCAGATTTAACTCCATCCTGCATCTCCAGCCCCAGTCTGACCCCAGCCCTGGGTGCCCAGCAGAGAGTTGCACCCACTGGGAAACAAACTGGGAGTGATAAATGAACTGAGGAAAGACCTTTTCCCATCCTTCCTCCTCCTCCTCATCCTCAGCAGGGCCATTTGCCACCCAGATGCAGAGGTTGATGGAGAGGAGGCAGCGTCTCACTCAGGATTTGCTCCGATCCTCTCTGGCCACCGTGCTGGTTTTTCTTGGTGGCTTTGCTGCTTTCCCTTCCCCTTTGCAAAACAAAAACAAACCACGTTTATTTTTGGATCAGTCTTAAAGGAAGCGATGGAGGATGAAGGTTTGAATGATGGGGAAGGCAGAGCCAGAGAGGGATGCAGGGGCACACCAGGATCGGGAGCTGAAGGCAGCCTTTGGGGTTGATGGTCCCATCGCAGCCCTTTTTTGGATCACAGGGGCTTGCAGCAGCACTGGGTGTGTGGGAGAGCACCCGGGGGTGGTTTTAGTGGTGCTGAGGCTCAGGGGTGATTGGAGACCCTTCTGGGGACACTGAGGACCTGCACTGGCCCATACTGAGCCCCTTTCCTGGCTGCTCAGGGGCGTCCATGCTGTCCATAGCGGGACCCAGCTCGAGGCAGGGGCTGTGGTGGGTCCATCCCTGGGTTTGCTGACTTTGGGAAAAGGCTGCAGGAGCAGGAACTTGAGGGGAAAAAAAAAAAGGGATTTGGGATCATTTTCCTCTTGGTCTCCCAAAGCTGCTCTCCTGCTTCCCTCCCCACCGTGCCAATGATGCTGCAGGTGTCCCCCTCTGTCCTTCCAGGGGTAAAACCCCGGTGGTGCTCCCTATGTACAGGAGCATCCCTGAGCCTGGGACCACTTCCCACCCTGGCTGAGCCCCTTCACCCTTCCCACCCCGGCTTACTCCTCCATCACTGCGTGCCCCCCACAGCACCGCCAGCCCTGGGGCCACCCCGCTCTGGCAGAAAACAGGAGCTATTGTATCCCCAGCCCCGGACAGGCTCCAACATCAACAAGGCAGGGGATGAAAGCGGGCTGCGGTGGGACTCGCTCTGCATTCGGCCCTGTGGCGTATAGAGGAGGATTGTGTTTCCCTCCCCGCTCCCTGGCCGGGGCTGGACATTGGCAGTGAGAGCCAATTCCCGGCTTTGAAGCCGCCTGGGTGTTTGTTTTCCTTGCAGCCACGTCCTCAGGGGCCGGGGGCTTGGTAGAGCTCAAAGCTGAGCGGGGTCGAGCCGGGGGGTGGAGACCCCCCAGGAGAAGGTGGAGGTGGTGACAGGGGATGTGGGACGCTGCTCTCACCCCCCTGGGTTTGTTCCTGGGGTGAAGTGAGAGCCAATTCCCGGCTTTGAAGCCGCCTGGGTGTTTGTTTTCCTTGCAGCCACGTCCTCAGGGGCCGGGGGCTTGGTAGAGCTCAAAGCTGAGCGGGGTCGAGCCGGGGGGTGGAGACCCCCCAGGAGAAGGTGGAGGTGGTGACAGGGGATGTGGGACGCTGCTCTCACCCCCCTGGGTTTGTTCCTGGGGTGAGCGGTGACAGACGTCCCCTGTCACCCGTGTCCCCAGGGCTGGAAGTGGCACAGCCCCTCCTGCTTCTGGCTGGGTGAGGACCGCGTTCCCTACAGCGATGCCCGCAAGACGTGCTCCGACTACAGCTCCACGCTGGTCACCATCACCAACAGGTCAGTGCTGTGCTGGTGGGGAGTGGGTTTGCCCCAAAATGAGCCCCCTGAGGTGGGGGTGACCCAACAGCAAGGGCTGGAGCATGGCAGGGGATCTCAGCTCACAGCATCGCCTGCTCTCGCCACTCACTCCAGGTTCGAGCAGGCCTACGTTAGCAGCCTCATCTACGGCTGGGACGGGGAGTATTTTTGGACGGCGCTGCAGGACATCAACGAGACGGGTGCTTTCCGCTGGCTGAGCGGTGACGAGGTCACATACACCCACTGGAACCGCGACCAGCCCGGTAAGGGATCGGGCACGGGTGGGATGGGGATGTCCCCTCTGTGCAGGGTGGGTGCTGGCTCTGCTCCTCGGCTCAGTCCGACCCTAAGGCTGGCGTCCTCCCCGCTCCCGTGAGCGCTCCAGGTTTCAACAAGGGTGGCTGCGTGGCCCTGGCCACCGGCAGCTCCGTGGGGCTGTGGGAGGTGAAGAACTGCAGCACCTTCAAGGCCAAGTACATCTGCCGGCAGAACCTGGGCACCCCGGTCAACCCTGAGCTGCCGGGGCCCTATCCCACACCCAGCCTCACCGCTGCCTGCCCCCCAGGATGGGGCTCTGACTCCACGCTCCGGTACTGCTACAAGGTAAGGGGCACCGGGGGAGAATTGCCTTGGCTGCTGGAGGGGTGAAAAAGGACGTTTTGGTGCTTGCAAAGGGCAGCTCAGACCGTCCCCAGAACCTGGTTTGGGCTGCGCAGTTGTAGCACACCCTGGGATGAGGGATTGAGTGGCTGGGAAGCTGCCTGGCAAAGAGGGATCTGGGGCTGCTGGTCGAAAGCAGGTGAACATGAGCCAGCAGGGTGGCCAAGGTGGCCAACAGCATCTTGGCTTGTATCAAGAATGATGTGGGCAGCAGGACCAGGGCAGGGATCCTTCCCCTGTGCTGGGCACTGCTGAGGCCACCCCTCAAATCCTGAGGTCAGTTTTGAGCCCCTGACTCCCAGAAGGATATTGAGGGACTGGAGCATGGGCAAAGAAGGGCAACAGAGCTGGGGAGGGGTCTGAAGCACCCAAATTATGGGGAGCGGCTGAGGGGTTCAACTGGAGAAGAGGAGCTGAGGGGAGACCTCATCCCCTCTGCAGCTCCTGAAAGGAGGGGGGAGCAAGGGGGGGGGTGGGCTCTGCTCCCCATAACAAGCGATGGGACGAGAGGAAATGGCCTCAAGTTGTGCCAGGGGAGCGTTAGATTGGTTGTGAATGAAAATTTCTTCCCTGACATGTTGATCAGGGACTGGCAGGGGCTGCCCAGGGCAGTGGTGGCGTCCCCATCCCTGGAGGGGTTTAAAAGCCAGGGAGATGAGGTGCTGAGAGCCATGGTTTAGTGGTAGAACCAGATGACTATGATTTTAATGATGCTGCTGCCAACGGGGTGGGGACGATGCTCTGCTCCTCTCCCGGTGCTGAACCCCCACTGCTGCCGGTCCCTCCCTCCCCAGGTGTTCAACTTCGAGAAGCTGCAGGAGAAGAAGACATGGATCGCGGCGCAGGAGTTCTGCCGGGAGCTGGGGGCCCAGCTGCTCAGCCTGGGCAGCTACGAGGAGGAGCACTTCATTGCCAACACGCTCAACAAGATTTTTGGGTGAGAAGCTGCCTGCTCCAGCACCAGCCCACACCCCTCTCTATGCGCTGGCGTGCGTGGAGGGGTGAACAGAGCATGGACTTGGCTCTCTGAGTGCAAATGTGGGTGCAGGAGGTGCCTTGGTTGGTTGAGATGCAGGAGAGTGCAGGAAATACAGTGAAATCTGGGGAGGGAGCTTGGGTTTAAAAACTACACCAGCCCCAAGCAGGTGTGCACTGGGGCACATTACCCAGGCTGCTGCCTTTGGGTGTTGTGGGGACATCAGGCTTGGAAAACAAACAAAAAAAGGCCAGATTGTAAATATATATTTGTGTAGAAAAAGGAATAACTTATAATATAATGTAATGTGTAATATA